TCTCTTTTACGTTGCTACTTTACATTTTCGTCGCCGTTTTTTTTTTTTTTTTACGCCCATTTTTTTGGGACTACTGGTGGTTTAAATACCAACTCCATCCGGACGCAGAGGCAAAATACGTCCGTTCTCTGAAAGTCTTCAATGGCAATGAACTGCTGACGGGAAATTTGGTGAATTGCAGAACCCCCTGGTGCAGTGGATGCAGGCGCTACCTTCGTCTACCAGACAAATGTATCTGTGCAGGGAGTAACGATTCATCAGATGAACCAAGGACAGTTCCGCCAGTTCCCAGACAGGACAACACCCTCAAAGGGGGTCTGGGACAGGGCACAATCCCTGGAATGAGATCACCCGCAGCCACAAGACCATCATCCTCCACAACAAGAACACCACCTGCCCAACAGAAGACGAGGTTGACCTCACGACCTTGTAAGTGGTAGGACTCTCAGCCCCAGTCAAGAGGCAAAGGGTCCCGGCCCCCCACCAATGGTGCAGGATCACAAGGCAAAGGAGAAGAAGGGCAAGAGAGACGGGGACAGTACATCCCCTCTCGTCTTGGGACCATCCAGACCTCCACACTGTCCACAGATACATGCACCATCAAGGGAGGCCCCAAAGTGGCCTGGCACCAAAAACTGCAAGCTTGGAAAAATCCCACTGCTGCAGGCAGCGGTGGGACCACCCACCAGGCATCAACCACAGATGAAGGGGGTCCCTCCCTGGGAGGCCCCACGATTCATGCACCCACAACAGGTGCATTCCTCCCACTAGGGACAGGCTCAAATGGTGTGGAGAGTGTCCCTACGACAATGACAGTAGACAAACACCTCAGAACAACATCCCCAAAGAGGACCAGGACCCAAACTTTTGGGGAAGATGATCCTGTCGGTCCCACAGTCGATAAACCCCACGCAGCAGGCAACACAACTACAACGTCAGGCATAGCAATTCCATTACTCTGCAAAAATACTAACCAAGGTCCCTTCATTTTGCTGCAGGTGACCAAGCTGGGTGGATACAACATCCCATACGGTTCACTCAGCAGCCCCCTGGATCCCATGACTATGTACAAAATGGGACAGCGCCTGGTTGAAGGCAGATTTGCGGTCAGACCTATCCCTGATCACTTGATGATTAATTTTTAAAAAATCGGGGCATCAAGGAAAATTTACCCAGTCAACGCCCTATGTCTGGACGCAACCCTGCTTTCTGGGGTAGACCCCAAGCAAGCTGGGGAAGGGTTCTACTGGGCCCCCGTTAGCTGGTTCAAAGCCAGCAGCGACGAACGCCAAATCCCTATGTTGGGGGATGGCATTCGAGGAGAGATCGTGACTGAGATCAACGACATTTTGAAAGGAGAAAATAAATTGTTCTCCCGCTCCTTTGCAGAAGCCCTCAGGGTCCCATGGGACCCAGCGGTGCTTCGCCCAGCAGTTCCATCGCAGCCAACCATCCAAACTAAGGCGCCATCCGGAGTAACGGATGGCCTCTAGAGTTTGGGTGACCTCCTGGAATGTAACTGGCCTTGTTGACTGCAACAGGAAGCACAAAAGGGCAAGGCTCAAGGCATGGATCCATCATAGCAAAGTCCAGATAGTACTCCTACAGGAAACCAAACTAAATGTGGAAAAGATAAGCGAGATTGGGGAATGGTGATCGGGACCGCAGGTCTGGTCGCCCGCGGATGGCACCAAAGGCAGGACCGCCATCTTGATCCATAACTCGCTTAGTAAGTCTGTCTCAGAAGTAGAGACAGATACTGAAGGCCACTGGGCCAAAGCTTCCATAACAGTGGGAAGCCAGACATGGTGCATAACCTAAGTGTATGCACCAGCCCACCATGCCACCAAATCCAATTTTCTTCAATCTATGAATAACATCATGCCCAACACTGAGTACCTCCTGGTAGGGGGTGATTGGAACACAGTCCTCAACGAGGGAATGGACTCTACTACTCCACTGTCCCATCCCTCGGAATCTCTGAAGTTAAATGAGCTAATAATGGAAAATGGTTTGTATGATCCCTTTCGTGCACAACATCCCACTGAACAAGTATTCTCATGGGTTTCTTCTAACTCCCAGAATGCAAATCTGGAAGTTAGAAGAAGGCTAGATATGATCTTTGTCAGTCAGAAAGTGCTCAAGTTGGTATCCAAGTCGGAAATCACTTTGGGTCCATTGTCAGACCATAAACTAGTTTCCCTAATACTAAACATGGGAACACGTATTCAGAAGGGTAAGGGTACTTTCAAGCTCAATATGCAGATCATAGAGGATCCATCTATGGTTGAGTGGGCCCATTCCTTCTGGGAGGAATGGAGATGCTCAACTCGCCTATACCCCAATCCGCTATTTACTGGCTTGACTCGGCCATGCAAATCTCCAAACACGAATCATGGTCCCGTTTCAGCTTAGTAGACGATATCATATCTAAAGACCGGATGAATAGCAAGACCTTTGCAGTCAAGGAAGAGGACAATTCTTCTTTGGCTATGAAGAAACTAACACACCCTTTCACACCATCAGCCCCTACGGCTCAAGACTCTACTACCATCAACAATTAGATTATTTTATGAGAAGTTGCTCACAACAAAAAAAAGCCAATTAGAACCCCTGGTCCCCCCCGAGTTGGAACACTTCCTCTGGGACACTACTAGTAAATTAATCTCAACCAAAGAACAGGAAGAACTAGACCAACCCATTACACTCCCAGAACTAACAACAGCTATGAAGAGTATGGCCAGGGGGAAATGCCCTGGCCCGAATGGGCTCCCCGTCAAATTTTTCGACAAGTTCTGGCCCTATTGGGCCCATGTCTGCTCCGGATATTTAATAACATTTTGTTAAACAAAAAACTAAGGGACAAAACCACTGAAAGGGTTATAACCCTTCTCTATAAGAAAGGAGACCGGGCAGACGTTAGAATTGGGCCATGAGAAGATCTCAATGGCTTCTGGAATGGCGAGACCTGCAAATCTCCAAACACGAATCATGGTCCTGTTTCAGCTTAGTAGACGATATCATATCTAAAGACCGGATGGATAGCAAGACCTTTGCAGCCAAGAAAGAGGACAATTCTTCAGGAATGGTGAGACCTGCAAATCTTATAACTCCGGGTCCATTGTCAGACCATAAACCAGTTTCCCTAATACTAAACATGGGAACATGTATTCAAAAGGGTAAAGGTACTTTCAAGCTCAATATGCAGATCATAGAGGATCAATCTATGGTCGAGTGGGTCCATTCCTTATGGGAGGAATGGAGATGCTCAACCCGCCTATACCCTAATCCGCACTACTGGTTGCACAAAGGACTCCATCTGATGTCCACCTTCTTGCAAACGAAGTCGGAAATCACTCCGGGTCTATTGTCAGACCATAAACCAGTTTCCCTAATACTAAACATGGGAACACGTATTCAAAAGGGTAAGGGGACTTTCAAGCTCAATATGCAGATCATAGAGGATTCATCTATGGTCGAGTGGGTCCATTCCTTCTGGGAGGAATGAAAATGCTCAACCCGCCTATACCCCAATCCGCACGACTGGTTGCACAAAGGACTACATCTGATGTCCACCTCCTTGCAAACGATTTCCGAGTCAAGGCAGTAAATAGCGAGATTTCAATGGGCCATGAGACGATCTCAATGGCTTGAGGAATAGCGAAACCTGCAAATCTCCAAACACGAATCATGGTCTCGTTTCAGCTTAGTAGACAATATCATATTTAAAGACCAGATGAATAGCAATACCTTTGCAGTCAAGAAAGAGGACAATTCTTCTTTGGCTATGAAGGAACTAACACACCCCTTCACACCATCAGCCCCTACGGCTCARGACTCTACTACCATCAACAATTAGATTATTTTATGAGAAGTTGCTCACGATAAAAAAAGCCAATTAGAACCCCTGGTCCCCCCCGAGTTGGAACACTTCCTCTGGGACACTACTAGTAAATTAATCTCAACCAAAGAACAGGAAGAACTAGACCAACCCATTACACTCCCAGAACTAACAACAACTATGAAGAGTATGACCAGGGGGAAATGCCCTGGCCCGAATGGGCTCCCCGTCAAATTTTTCGACAAGTTATGGCCCTATTGGGCCCATATCTGCTCCGGATATTTAATAACATTTTGTTAAACAAAAAACTAAGGGACAAAACCACTGAAAGGGTTATAACCCTTCTCTATAAGAAAGGAGAACGAGCAGACGTTAGAAATTATTGTCCAATCTCCCTTCTTAATGTTGCTGGCAAGATTCTAGCCCAAACACTTTCTGGAAGATTAGCTCCTCTCATGAACAGACTAGTAGCTCCATACCAGTCCGGATTCGTTCCTCGCAGGTTAGTCTTAGACCATGTCATGACAATCTCACAGGCTATCGACATTATTAACATTAGAGGCTCTAACACATCGATTATCCTAATCGACTTTAACAAGGCATACGAAAGGGTAAATTGGAGATTTGTTCAAGCAGTTTTGGAAAGAATCGGTATGGGACCTGATCGGGTGAAGGCACTTTACCACAGCTCTCATGGGAGAGTAGTGGTTAATGGTTGCATATTGAGTTCCTTCACCATTACCAGATCCTTAAGACAAGGGTGTCCTCTTGCTCCATTTCTGTTTGTCATCCAAATGGAAGTTCTTTTGAATATGATCCGCTCACACAAGGACTACCGAGGGCTGAAGGTCTCCCCCCAATATGAATTAAAGATTTCAGCACCCACAGATGACTTCTCTCCAATTACAGAGAACAATAGGGCCTCATTATCTGCATTAACGCAGTGTCTCTCAGTCTATGAGACCGCATCCGAAACGAAGATTAGCTGGAATAAATCTACAACCCTCACAACCAACAATGTCAATCTAGCAATAGACCTTGACATTAAATCCACAGCGAACACGGAGTCAGAACGCTACCTCGGGGGTTTAGTTTCCTTCGGGAACTGCAACGACGCACAGGCAAACATCATAGAGAGCCGCATCAGGGAGAAGTGTACCAGGCGGTCCAAGCGTTCCGACTCATCCCTCTTTGGAAGGACCCTTATTGCCAACTGTGTCATACTGTCAACAACGTGGTACATCCTGTCCATCAGAGCACTCTGCAATGGACCCAGATCGTGAAGACACTTGTCAACAATGCAAGTCCAGATGAATCTCAACCTGCTGATGATTATCAATAATCATAATCATGTCCAGATAGAATGAGATGAGAAAAACATACACAGACGAAGGCGAGAGGAGGGAGAATAGACATAGAAAAAAAATAGAAGACAATGCCTACTTCTACTTCAGGCTCCCTCCTCGATCACCACCTCAGTAATCAATAATCTGAATGTGAATCTGAAGTTCTAACGCAATGTGCCACGTGGCACGTGAATCAGTCTTCGTCAACGAGCTGGAGCAATGTCAACATCAATACAACCAGGTACGTATCCACTATCGCCCCACAATCATGATCTCCTCCCGAATGTCATCGAAACAGAACAACAATGTCAGTCGCCTAGCCTCGCCACATTAACAATAATAATATATGTGGCAGCGGTCATGTCAGCGGTGGCACGTGGCAGCAGCCACGTCAGCATGCCCAGAAGACAATTGCAAGTCGGCCACCATGCCGAGTTAGCACAGCGTCGCCATAGTTCTCCCAATTGCCAGCGTAGAGCCAGCGCCTAGCTAGCGTCGCAGTGTCGCGCTAGCGTCATTGTCAACGAGTGAAGTCAGCATTAATGCAAGACAAAATGTTCTTTGAAGCCAGGAGGTCAACGCTTATGTAGCGTTGATGCGGGGTCTGGACCCCAGGTGCTGCATCCCTCAGCTGTCGAGATCTCAACGCAAATGACGTTCAGATTGGCCTGCAACAGAATTCCCTGTGGCCTTGATATTGTCTCGGTACCTGCGCACAACAAGTGAATGTATCCGACCAAGGGTCTGGGCGCAGTACCTTTCACCTGGCAGTTGACTTGGACCCTTGACTTTCTAGGGGGCAGTGCCTGGTCGCACTGCCTGGCGCAGGCCGTGTTTGGCCTATGTCGTCTGGGCACAGTTTCGGGCCCCCAGACTGCTGTGGAACACGGGTTACTGCATTCCTGCCGACACATTTTCAAGTTTCATCGCAGAAATAATTAAGACGTTAACCCACGTTCATAAGCAAACATTATGTCAGGAGTAGTTTCCAGTATTCTCTTTTACTAAACCATTTGTCCTCAGACGGAGACTGAGACTTGAAACGTACCTTGAACTGCTTCTGTGGTCGTCCCCGTCCTCCTATAGAAAAGAATCAATGTTCTATGATCCGATCTACTTCATACCTGCCTTCCATTCATAACGGAATCATAGATGGTCTGTTTGGGAACTCCTTTCCTTCTACATAGGGTAATAGTTTGGACGCGTGAAAGACAGGATACGTTTTGAGGTAAGGGGGAATATCAATACGATAAGATGGTCCCTCTGAATCCCTAATCACTTTGAAAACTTCCCAGGATCGAAAATAGACAGGCAGTCGTTTTTTAGATACATCTTATTCCAATGAAAACTCTTTGGACTTGACCGAGACTAAATCACCTTCCTTGAATATAGATGGTCGACGATGCTTGTTAGCTTGTTGAATCATTTGGGTATGAGCTTTCTCAGATTCTCCTTTACTTTCTTCATGTCTTCTTGAAACAATACTGCATATTCCCGGGTCCCTGGAGATAACCTAAGAAATTGGTCCCGTGTCAACACATCAATGGGACGCTTAGGCTTCCATCCCTTATGCAGTGCATTAGGTGTACGCCCTGTAGCAGTATGAACACTACTATTATATGCACTTGCAATCTTGGGTAAGTTCTCGTCCCAATCAATATGATCGGGTCTCACATACATGCGTAAAAGTTATTGATACAGACGGTTCATCTGCTCAGTCTGGGCATTCGTTTCAGGATGCCGTCCTGATGACATCGTCAGTCGTGTGCCATATGCTTCCATAAGTTTTTGCCATGACATACTCGTAAACCTGACATCGCGATCAGACACAATAGACTTATGAAAACCATACTCCATCACCCATCGCATCTGAAACTTTTGAATGACAAGTTCAGTTCCCGCTTCTGCAGGTAAGGGAATAAACATGGCGTATTTAGAGAAACGTTGCAGTTTTTTGTGAAACTCGTAAAATCAATCAAAATGGACTCACCTAGTTCGTTGGGAATCGGTAATGGTTTCAGAAGACCAAGCGGATTTTCATGCGAAGGTTTGTTTCTCTGGCACACCAGACATGTACGAACATAAGTTAGTACGTCCTCTTTCAATCCCTTCCAATCAAAGTGTTCCCTAACCTCAGCGTAAGTTACCAAAATGTCCCTCAGTGTCGCGACATTCCCCAATCAGCAGACTTTTGATTTCTTTCTTGTAGGGAATACATAGTCTTTGTTCAGTTTGGTCTAGAAAGAAAAGCAAACCATCGGCTACTCTATAGTTGGGAAGTAAAGTTGGATCTTTCGCAAGGACATCCGTGATAGGCTTCCAGATAGGATCATTGACATATCCTTGACGAATGTTATCTTTCAAATCATTCTCAACATCTAAGTAAAAGAGACAATAGTACCAAAGAAATCACATCGTCTGGGCAACGCATCTGCAACCATATTAGACTTGCCTTTGATAATTTTCAACCCAAAATCAAAAGTATTAATGAATGCAGACCACCGTACTAGCTTATCAGAGAGTTTAGGTTGTCTTTATCCACTTTAGCGTCGCGTAGTCTGAGTACACAGTGAAGTGTCTCCTTAACAAGTAGTGCTTCCATGTGTCCAGCGCACAGACTAAGGTATATGATTCCCTTTCATAAGCGGAGTTAGCGACTTTTTCCGATGGTAATCGTGCAAACATAAATTTGATGGGTCTATAACCGTTACCATCGTTCTGTTGAAGGACTGCGTCAATCCCGTACTGACTTGCATCAGTATTAACAATGAAGGGAAGTGACGGATCATCAATTTTCAGAACAGGATAGTGAGTCAAAACATACTTTATCTTCTTGAAGGAAGACTCACAATCTTTGTCCCACAACTCGATAGTGCCTTTCTTTAACAATCTTCTCATTGGAGCGGCAATCAGTGAGAAGTTTCTAACGAACTTTCCATAGTAGTTTGCCAAACCAAGAAAAGATTATAGTTCGGTTAGGTCGTGGTCAATCTCAAGTTGCTAATATTTTTTTTTTCTTCTCGCCTTAGGCCATCTTCGTTCACTGTATGTCCTAAATATAAGACTTCAGACTTAGCGAACTCAGACTTCTTTGGGTTTATTTTGAAGTTGCTCTCTCGCAACTTTCCTAGAACTAGACGAAGATGCTTCTCGGGATCTTCTAGTGTTTTACTATACACTAGAATATCATCGAGATAGACAATATCGAATGATCCAACCATTGACGAAACAATTCATTCATTGACCGTTGGAACGTCGCAGAGGCATTTGTCAATCTGAAAGGCATTACCATGAACTCGTAATGGCCATACTTCGTCCGGAAGACAGTCTTGTATTGATCCGCGGATTCCACCTCTTTTTTTTTTTCTTTTTTTTTAATAGAGATTTTTTTTTTTTT